ACAAGCAAAAGAAGAAATGCTACTTAGTAAACGTATTTAATCACTCTAATCATGGTATGAATGGGAGATGACCGATGCCTTCTAATTAGAAACAGTATTGTCTCTGGGACCTTTGATTCCAGGTTATGTGAGACTCCACTGGAAGAAACAATTCTAGCTGCCAACAACTCAGCCCAACAGTAAGAAGGGATAATCTGTTCAGGGAAATAACCAATATAACAGCAGGCACTAATGTAGAACAAGAACATACACTTCAATTGAAGACAAAATACATCATGAATACACACCAGAAAAAACTATACGTCACAAAGAGCATAGAGGAAGCTGCTTTACATCCCAGTGTTACACACCCAAGAAAAAACAGAAGCAATTAATGAAAAAAATGAAGAAGAAGAATATCTGTAACCTGATTTGAGCAGGTCCAGTAATGCAGAACTCACCTGCAGCTAAGCAACAACCAGATTTGCAATTGTACTTTGGGATCAACAACTCATTCTTTTTCCAGCTAGACCTGTGTGCCAGCTCCCATGTGATCCCAGTAACTATGACACATTAGTGATCTAAATGGTTACATGCAATAAAAATATTCCAAAACATAAAGGGTAATGAGAAGAAATCAGTGAAAAAAGCATTACCACACACAACAGCTAACAGTACTATCCTGTGTTGCTATAGCTTTGTGTGCTGCTCATCACCATGACATTTTGGCAATTGAGAGAAAATAGAAAGAATGTCCATGAGGGAACAAGCTGACATAACATAAGGATGCACATCAAGGAGATGGGCACTTTTGGCCTGTCAAAAATGCTACTGCAGCTTCAGTAGACATACCTCAACTAGCTTTGCAGCTGCCCGCTAGCAGCATGGGGTCATTCTGAGGCTGTGAAACCTGTCCGAGAGTGAATAAATACTCATATAACTAGTCTTGGCACACTGCACTGGATAATTACATCTGACAATCTTTTTCATGCCCTCAGCCTCACAGAGATATGTAGGCATTATCCCAGCCTGCTACACATTTCAAAGCTGTGGTCCCCAAACCATGCATGGAGGCACTGCATTACATTTAAGACATTGCATTATTACTCACAGTCACAAGCCATCACCACTACTACAGCACACATCAAAAAAAGAAAAATGTGACAGCTTATATCATTGCCTCAGACCCAGAAAAGGGACATCTAGTATCAAAATTTCAGTGGTTCACCATCTTAACATCAATAATATTCCAACAGCATTTAAAACTACAAGCATACATATTTCAAATTTTTACAGACTCCTAAAAGGATGCTAGCAGTGGAGCATTAGGTGGAGTGCAAACAAAGCAGAGTTGAGGGGAATTGAGATTTCCTACTATTAACACAATCACTGACTTCTCATAGGCCATGGTCTCATTTTGACAGTCATTTTTTTTAATTTTGAATCACCATCCTTCAACAACTAAAAAGCTTTTTAGACTGTAGAAATGATGGTTTTTAAATTATTAGTGCTAAACACAATTAATGTCATTATTTTTTTGGCTTGTCAATGCTGAAGATTCATGGTTTTGTGAAAACAGGAAACTCAGCAAAATATCAATGGAAGCCCTTAGATTTGGATGCCATTAGCATACCATACCTGGACACAACACAGGTCCTCTCTCTTTATTCTAGATTTAGCACATGCTATGGTCTGTGAGGAGAGCACTGAGGAAATCCTCAATGCCTTCCTTCAATTTTTTTTCCCCTATATCAAACCAACCAAACAAAACTAACAACAAAAACAACAAAAAGTCCCAGCCTTTTTGCATTTTTATTGCTAAATGATTCTAATCAAGAACATTTCATCTCAGCTTTGAGCTTAACAGCTTCATTTCAGATCTGTTTGCTTCAGGAGTAGATGCTGGCCTGCAGGTAGCCTCATCAGCTGCCTCTTAATTTTCTGTCCCTGGATGACTCCGAACACGCGCCCGTGGCCCCACCTTCCTTACAGTAAGTCACATGCCAAAGTGAGTCAGCAAAATATGCTTAACCATTTTCCATAGAAGCAATGCTTGTATTAAATAAATAAATAAATAAATAAATAAATAAATGTAGCCAGAATGTGTATTTCCTTATGAGCTTTTTTGCTTTTATTTTCCCTGTTTGGATAGGTATAAGAGACACATTCAGGCTTCATGTCACACAAGCACTTAGATGCTATAAAAATACAAATTTAAAAATCTTAAAATTGTCCTAACAATTTGGCATTGTCTGCTCTATCACTGTATTTTTATCTTCAGTTTAAGGTGTTTTCCCTAGCTGTAATAAGGGAAAATGGATGTCATTTAACTCTTTTCATTAACTGTGTGACATGGTTCAATAGTTTTTTATCTACCCTTAATTCACTATCATCTTTCCTCCACCACTGCATTATTCATGTATGTCACCCTCTTCTAATTCCTGTGACAAACACATTTGTAATGATTTTATTTAGGATCAACACTTCCTCTCACAATGAAAAAAGGTAAAAGTTAAAGCAGCTTTGTCACTTGGCTCTGCCTGGAAGTCAGTCAGGATGTAGGCAAGGCAGTCGTGGGGAGCAGGCAGCAAACCTGCAGCCTGTGGCAAACACATCTGGGGCTGACAGCAGCCAGGAGGCACCACCAGCAGCTACTGCTTCATTAATTTTACTGTGTTTCAGGGAGGTGAAGGACTGAACCATCAATAAAGGCAAAAAACCACACCCTGTCATATTTTACATCCACCGAGTTAGGCTTAATTTAAACACATTTTTTTTACCACTTATTTCAAACAAAAGCACCAATTTTGCATAATATTTTGTTTAATAGTATTAATTTAAATATTACACTAGACCAAATATTACACTGTTACAGCCTCTACGTAAAATTATTGCCATACATTACATCCTGGAATGCCTTTTAACATTTGACTAGAGAAACAAAAATGTTTATCTAATTCCAGCCTTAATCTGTTTTAAAGGAAATAGTATTCAAATAACTAATTTTGTGTTTTCTATGACTGGAATAACCATTGTTACAACAGGTTGGTTTTGGCAGTGCCTTTGCTACTTTCACTGTTCACAAGTTGTCTTACAGTTTCAGACGGTGTCAGACCTAGAGACTATATCTCATGCCAGCTGGAGTGGGAACATTGGTTTTATGTATAGAAATACAGCTTTTAGAAGTCAAGGTCTGCTAGCAGATTCTCTACAAACTACAATGGCAGCTGTGCTAGAGGTCATGAATATTACATAAGGGCTGTCCATGTATTTAAGCCAGCATCAGTAAGCCAAATTCCCATAGCAACACTCGCATAGATTTACTCATTGCAAGGGATGCATTAGTTCAGCAGTGAGCACTGCACTGCTACCCTGATTAATCTGCAAGATACTATAGCTTCAACTCTTCTTTTCAAGATTGTGCGTTTACTGATAAAATTTAAAACTTCACCTGAATTTCAGGGCAGCCCTTATAATCTTTCCCAGGAGCAAAAAAACCACCTCAAAATAGCAAAATCCATCCCTGATAAAACTGAAACTCCTGACTACAGTCAGCAATCTCTGAGATACAAGGCTGAAGGGAAGAAGTGAGCTGCTTCTGTTGTTGAGTTTCTGCTACACTGATCCCAGAACAGCAAGATCCAACTTCAAAGAGATGTTCAGCATCTCCTACACTTGACACATTCCAGCAGCTCATTAAAAAGCTGCTGTAGGAGCTCTTATTAAATATTAGTTAACAGTTACATTTTCAAAAAACCATTTTTGGCTTCCCTGTTCAGGCTTTCTGGCCTGATGAAGATGTCTGCTTGTGCATTATAGTACTGTATTATTTACAGAGCTGGTCCTCACCACACGATCAGCTACAGAGCAAAGTGATCTGGACTCACAGATTTCTGAAGAGCCCTTTTAAAACAGGTGGCATAAATGGGCAGAGGTGAGGCTGTCAGTGGAGAGTTAAATGGAATAGGAGATGGAAAGGAGATAAAGAATTAAAAAAAAAAACTAGGCAAAATGGAGGAGGGGACTCAGAGAAAGTGAGAGAAAAATGTAGATCAGGTAGATAGATCTAAGGGGGGATCTCAATGGTGTATTTAAATATATTAGAACAAAAACCAGAGTTTAGAAAACAGTTAATACATTTAAATCTTGCAGCTAACATACCAAAAAAAGAAAAATTTGAATGAAGTGATAAATTAATGATAATAAATAAAATTAGCACAATTTTTACAGATGCAGCATTATTTAAAGATGTAGCACAGATGAAAGAGAAACAAGCCCATCAGTTTCACTGCTAAAACCTTCACAGTCCTAAATACATCTCATGGAAAATATATAAACACACAGCAAAAACCTAAAGCTCATTTAGAGTTTTCTTACTACACTGTCATATCTGCCAGGAGTATGTTGAGAGGAGAAATCTGAAGAAGACCTACAGCAAATGACTCACGGGGTCACTTGACACACAAACTGTAAAGAAAGCCAGTGAAGTCTTTAGGAAAAAACCACACTTGTAACAGATTCTCCTTATTTACATATGATTTGTAGGGACTGATTCTTCATTGAAGGGAGATGAACAGGATGTTCAACTGAGGGCTGATTTTTGACACTGTAAAAGCATTAAGTGCCCTGGCAATCCATGAGCAAACTTTCAGAAACATCTTCAGTAAGAATTCATAGCATTGACCCTATACACTGCAGCAGAAGTATATATTTAATAAAAGAAGAAATGCACACATTTAAATAAGAATGTTCTGAAACACATAAGTCAATCAAGTGCCTGTTACAGAAAACTGATTCTAAGTGATTTTTCATGGAGCATATATTTTCAACTGCTGTCTGGAAGGATTATAAGAGCTCTAATCTATATGTTAATACATTAAAAACAGTTTATCACTAATGGATGAGATGACAAAGAATCATGGAATGGTTTGAGTTAGAATGGATCTTAAAAATCATCTAGTTTCAACCCCTGCTTTAAAGCCAAGCATTTTATGAGTTTGTAACATGAAACAATACCTTACCTTTGCTTTTTCCAGCTGTGCCTGGGCCTGTCGCTCTGCCTCTCTCCGCACTGCTTCCCTATCTTCTTCCAGAGATACATCTGAATCAGATGGACGGCTGGTGTAGGAGTCCGCCGAACCCTGCAAAACAAAAGGAAAAATAATGTCACAAGTTCCTTTGATGATATTAAAAAAAAAAAAAAAAAAAAAAAAAGTAGGAGTGCTTATACACCTTGCCTTTTCTCTTACTTCTCTATCACTGAAAAGAGACTAACTGCCCAAAAGGGAAATTCACTTACAAGAAATTCTATCTATGTAAACATTTTCTTCTGGAAACTTTGAAAAGGTGCAGGTGCCTTCTCCAGTGTTTTACTTCCTGCCCTATCTCTGCACTCTTATTTGTGTGCTTTTCAGCAAGCAGAGCTAGTTTCTCTGGAGACTTACAGCACTGGTGCAGTGCAGGGCTGAAGGACACACAGCAGCTTCAAGGATGGCTCCGTAAAAATTAGAACTCTAAACAGTGACAGAAATAGCAAGCAAACAGACTTTCTATAATCAAAATGCAAATTTAGTATCAATAATTACCATTACACAATATCACTGCTAAGAGATTTAATCTCTGCTATGCATTTTTATTTTAGGGCAGCCTCTTTACCTGACACACTTTCCCCATCAGAACAGCAAATGGCTCATATCCATCTCTGCCCCTCAGCAAGACATGCAAATGACCACAAATCAACTTCCAACTAATAAAATCCGTCTGGACTCAACACATGTCCCTGTATCACCACAATGGAAGCAGCCACAATGCCAGAACAGCTCTATAAATAATGACAGCTCTGCTTTCCCTCTGCATCTCCCTGCATACAAAATAGAGTTCTGGTAATTCAATCAGAATGAAAACAACTGTCCTCTCCTCACCACCTTTTTCCTCTCCCTCCTTGCAATATACACAATATAAGGTGATAAGGAAAATGCAGGGCTTACACAGATATCAGAATTCTTCAGGCGTCCTCCTTTGGCTCTTTTCAGAAGCCTGATCCAGGTGGCCTTCATTAGCCAGACAGCTCAGTTACTGTCCGCAGCTGCAGCGCCCGGCACTGATCTCATAAAACATGTGCACACTGAGCACTGCAGAATCACAGCTCCTTTCCTATCCATGCTCTGCCGTGAGAGCCTTCCTTCTCTTCCCTCTGCCTTTCAAGCTTCCAGCCTCACTGTTTCCAAGTATTCTACTGGAATTAAATTCTCAAATTTTCTCATGCCAGTAGGAAAAAATGGAAAAAAAAAAAATTCAGAAAAACTCCCAAAAATCCACACCACCTCCAAAAATCTCAACTTCAGTGATAAAAACATGAAATAAAACCAGCTTCAGAAATATTGTGAGAGATGCTTCAGCTGATCATAAACTGAGATCGATCACAGAAAAATACCTAGGGCTCTTTCCTTTCTGTTTTGGGGGGCGGATTTGGCTGTTAAAAATAGTGCTTGTAAAAGAACCTTTTAAAATCCTGTGCAAAATGTATTCAGTGACATTTGCAAGTGCAAAGTTCATTTCATCTCTTCCTAGATTGGCTGGGGGTGGGGTAACAGGCTGTTCATACCACTGGGCATGCTCCATATGTGCAGCCTTTTACGCAGATGCTCACATCACACCGGGCTGTTAGCCTATGCCAAATTGCCATTTTACATCTCAAGGGTAAACAGCTGGAAAACGCGAGGTCCCTGTGAAACTGGAAGAGCTGGTACAGTGTTTCATTCCCGTCATGGATGTCTGCTGCCAGCCACGTTTCCCTTGGATGCTTGCTTCTGCCACGGAGTGCTGCCCTCCGCTGCAAAGCACTGAGCTCCACTCACATTTCCCTTACAGAAACCAAAAATACGCCTGTTGAGTGGGAATTTAACCCCCTGCTTACTGCCTATATTTTTTCTTACATTAGCAGAGGAAAGGAGCAAAAAATAACTGCAACATACCACGTTACATATATATATTAGATCCTAATATGACAAAAGCCAAACAAAACCTTAAATTTCCCTATTCTGCTTTTCAGAATCACCCCCTACCCTCTAAGAAACTGACATGGGAGTGACACGCTAAGGCAGGTTTTCCTAGAGCGTTTACAATTTACTGTCAGACATGTAGCAATCTAGGTGAAAAAAATCTGACTGCAGTGACCACCTCTGATATAAACTCAGATTTACAAGAAAAACAGCGAATAAAGATTACAGCTGAGAACAGCGGCCATGCACATGCTGCAGTATGTCCGCATATCCCAGGAATGATCGAATCCTGCCATGATTTGTGTCTGTGTAACAATGAAATTGCCCATCACAAGTGATGCAGCAGCCTACATTTTACCATTATTAGAGCAAGCAACAGTTGTCACTAAACTCACAGTTCTAAATAAAGCTACTTTTTAACTTTACAAATGTTTTACTTTTTTCTTTCCTGAAGCCCGTAATAGTTACAGCATAGAATTTAATAAGCTGTCTTTGAACTGGCATAAAGAAAATTATTCTCCAAGGTATATATTGTTTTTCAGGAGTTCAGATACATCTGCTAAATTATGGTGATTGTTCAAAACTAAAATGTCTCCTGAGCTAGAGCAACAGAAGCAGAAATCAAAATAAAACACACTCAAAGTTTATTGCATTTTAAAAAGTATCTTGTCTGTTAAGAAAATATACAGAGGCCCTGTAACCTCCCCAAAGCCTGTCAGATTTTGCAGTTCTTTAAAATTCCCCCTTGCCACAACTTCTGACACAGCTGCCAAAGGAAATAGTGGGAAAAGATGATCAACAAGCAGACAGAATTTTAGTGCAGAGTTTAAATCCAGTTATGGCTGACACACCATTGGCCTGTGGACAAAACCACTGATGCTAGCACAGCACTAATGAAAGGTGAGACTGTGATGAGCTTCCCCAGAGTCCCAGCCCCCAGGACACTCTGTGGTCCCTGGACACTCAATCCTCCTTGGAAAGGGCACACCTAAACCCTTCCCCAGCAGCCCTGCAGCTCCTTGGTGCCACTCTGCTGCCATGAGGAATGGTGCCATAAACCAGCCCTGAAGCAACACCACCTGTAAGTAAGAGGCAAACAAACAAAGCAGCCATTAAGCCTGACAGATCATAGGACAGTGTGGGTGTTTGCTTCCTACAGCACTTCTATGGTGAGCACACAATATTTGACACTGACCAAGAAGCACAGCATCACTTTTACTGTCCCTCATTCTGCTGTGCACAAGGGATGCTACCTAACCAGTCCTCACTCTATAAAAAAAATCATGAAGCACAGTAACATAATTCCTATGTCCCCAAAGGGGGCAAAATGCCTTTTGCGTCAGGCTAGAATTGCTAAAATTTGAATTTCATCTTCCCGACCACAGAGATCATTTACTGTGCTTGTCATGTCTTGTGTTGGCCACAGTCCCAACACACATCCAAAAAATCAGAGTGATCCCATTTATTTTAATTATATTGACAAATTGCATGAATCAACCACAGCATTACATTTATTTTCCCCATGGTACAGACATGGTCATGTAAATTTTCTGCGCAAAGGGAAAGCTGGAAGCTTTTTTGCTTTCTGAATATGGAAAAAACTCACAGCTAGATAATAGAGGAAAAAGAAGAGCATACAATTACATTTAATTAATTGTGTGAATTTCTGAATATTTTTACATGAGCTAAGAATGCAGTCAGTTGCATTAAGATGAAAAAAAATTAAACCTATACAAAAACTATGACGAAACTATAATAGAAATACCTTGACTAGTCAAGAAAAAAATCATGACAAGTGGATGTGCATCTTCCATTCATGACAACCAAGGAAACTACATTTCCTCCCTGAGAAGGAGGAAATGATGCCGAAGTTTTTTTTGGGTTACTCCGGAGTACAGTAAAAATCTTTTCCCAAGAGCTTCTGAAATTCAGTCTTTGTGAAATTCTTCATGTCTCCATCTCTTTCCTTTGCCATATGGAAGAGCTGCAGTAATATCTGTATGTAATATATAATACTGCAGCCCCCAATTCCTCATCTTTCATGGGAAACTGTCTAATAAAAGTGAGATAATTCATGTTAATAATTACTCCATCTATTTATTCTTCTTTTTATTTTATTTCTTACTTTGCAGATTTACGGGCCCAGTTTGTTTGAAAAATAATTTTCTGTTTTAATAACATGCTTGAAAAATACTTCCCAATTATCTTACCACTTATTAGAGTAGCTGCTATGAGCTATTCTTATAGTGCAAACTCGTACTTTTCACACTGGTAGTGGTCATATGTGATCATATTTGAGTTCCTTTTCCTTCAAGACCATAAATGTCTGCTGTTTTTAGTATTGCAGAAGTGTGTCATCTTTACGAGACCGGGTCCCTCAAGTAAAAGGGGTTTTTTATATTATTTCTGTTTACTTGCAGGTAGAAACTATTTAGGTAAATTCGGTAGTGCCTCTAGATCTCTCATTTTTCTTGTTAGTTTTCTGTATCCATGCTTAACTTTCATCAGCACAGCTAGAGCTTAAGTACAGATTTTGACTGAGAAATTCTCACTGGGTTAATACAGCCATCACTACTCTCACCAATTCAATCATGCCCTTTATATAGTGTTTTGCCTTTAAAGAATAAAAGCAATCTGAGTACCATGACTAACTTCCACAGGGTAATCCAGTTAAGAATTAGATATCATTAGAGCAGATCATTTTCCAGATTACTGAAAATTCAGAAGTAATTATCTTCTTAGAAAGATCAACGAAGTTCTTTCAAGTAAAGACTTTTCACATTATTATTTATTAAATGAAGACAGGAAGCAGTAAGCAAACATGCATTGAGATTTTACTAGGAATAAGGAAATATATGTGACTGCACACATATATAAACTCTTTAATTTATAGCAGTGGGGTCTTCTCTAAGATATATTTTTCATCTTTCATTCACTTGACGCTAATGATGCTTTTAAATGCAAAAGGAGAAATTACTTTGTATCTTCATTTGATTTATACTTTGAATATGGAAAGCTCAGTCCTCACTGTGCCAGTAAGAGGAACAAATCACTTCAGCATTCAGAATTTATAGAGATATTGTTAACTGCTTATATTCTTATCCTGTGGCAGCAGTAAGAACGGCATCACACGTCCCACT